CTGTGAGGACTGAACTGAACTTACTCGTCATGAAAGTTGACAAGTGCAAAAGCGGAGCAGGGGGGTGGGAAGGGGGGGAAAGAAAAAAAAGCTGTTCGAGACTTTAAGGGTCTATTGCAATGTGAGGAACGGACCAACCTTGAGGGCAAGAACTCACTCGGACCAACGCGGATGAAACCCGAAAACCCGGCTCTTCCGTGGAACAATCTCGTGGGAACAAACGAGTCTGGTGGGACCAACCAATTAAATGTCTGAAGTGTTTGTTTTTTTAGTCAAGAGTTCTTCTAAGCAAGGTTTGGCTGTAATTAACATTTTGTTTTGTTTTCGGAAGCTTAAAGTGTTTTGTTTTGGTTTTTTTTTTTTAAATCTGTTAAATATGTATTTATGTTCTGTATTATTTTGTCTTTTAATTAATGAAGTAATTTTGTGCAAAAAGTAGAATTTTAAAAGATTTTAAAGAGGGGGTGGGGAGGGAGCATAAAAATAGTGGAGATGATACAATAAAATGGTGGTATGAGTCTATAGATTTTCGTTGGTTTTTGGGTTTTTTTCGTTTTGAACCGCTGCAGCAGTCGTGTTTGAGAGAGGGACTGAACGAATCTGCCCATCGCAGGCCTGGTCACCAACAGGGAACTCCAACAGGAATGTAAAATAACGAGGGGGGAAGTTACTAATTAAATTGGGAGGCTAAAAGGGTTGCAAAAAGGAGCAGGCGGTTTTTCTGGCTACCTGCTTTCAGGCGTTAAAATTGGATTTTAAGGCATTGCAGAATCTTTGTACACTTTCAGAACCAGGACTACTTTATAGGAGGATGTAATTTAATGAGAAATTATCAACTTCTGATTTAATTTTGGCTTCTAGGGACCAGATATCATCCATCAAGCTGTGAAACTAAAATCTTCTCCACTAAAAAAAATTTTTAGGTACTTAGTTTTAGACTAATATTTCATTGATATATTTCTACTTCTTCCATTGTATGCTGAGCATATAATAACCATCTATTTTATGGTAACTTGTGCCTTTAAAAACTTTGTAAATCTAAAAACACATTTCAGAGGTTATCATCTTTTTACCTTTTCTACGTTTCCTACTCTTTTTCTAAAAATATTTTTTGCATATTTCCTTTTGGGGACGTGGGGGTGTGGCAAAATACAGAAAACTCATTTTTATGCAATCTATTTTTCTGTATAAAGTTTGAAAGACTTTGGCTGTTACTTATCTGTTCTCTTCACTAGCTTCTGACTAAGCAATGCTAACTTTTGTACAGATCAATTTGATAAAATTAAAAATTGCTTTTTATCAAGTACGTGTTATGTTTTCTTTCTGCTTGAGCCTATTTCTGTGCTGAAAAGAAATGCGGAGAACAGCTTTGAGAGAGACAGGATATTCAGAATAAAATATTTTGACCAAGGTTTTCTCTGTTCTCCTAATAATATGTTGGTTTGGGTTTTTTTTTTTCCTTGCTCCCTTTCCCTGTACTTAAATGGTGTCTTACTATGAGATTTTTAAAGATTTTTTTTTTTTTACTTCCTTGAGAAGTGCATTTCCATGCCCGTAATCCCAAGGATTTCATAGGATTTCATCGAGACTGCTCACATGAGTAAGGGTTTGCAAGGTCAGACTCCGTGGTTTTAGACCAAGTTCATTTTATTCTGTACAGCACGTAGGAATTTTACAGTAACAAATTCTGCTTTCTGGTTGGCGAGCCCTTGTAAATACCTCTTAATTATGAGAGCAACAAAATTATACGTTGCATGTAGTGGTTTGTTTTCTTTTTTTTTTTTTTTTCCAAATAGTCATTAAAATAGTTACATTTGTGACTTTTTTTTTTTTTTAACTTGCATAAACTAAGTTGCAGTTTGGTTTTACCAGTTCAGACAAACCCATGCAAGATGTTCAGGCTGGGCCCTAATTGGGAGGAAAGGGCTGGGATTAGGGAAATTCAGCCGCCCCCTGCCCGCGAAACGCGCTCAGGACTTGGTCGTAGTGCAGCACTGTGGAAAATGTTTTAACATGAGGAAAAATAAATGCGATGACAATTAATGAAGCTCAAGAACATTAACGAAGTCTGAACGACAGAATCCCAATGCAAATTTGCTGTTTGCGGTATCTGCCAAGAGCTATCTTGCCAGAGTGTCTGTAACTGGACACCATTTTCTCTGTGCTCATTTACAAAACTGCTGGCAAAATGACTTTATTACGCTATAAGCCAAAGCTGCAGAATAACTTTCAGAGGAGACTTTTTCCTCCTTTCTCCTCCCTCCAGTTACAACGCAAGTTTCAAGTCTTATCCTAACTCACGCTCGAAAAATAGATGCGTTTTGGCTTCGCCTCTTCTGCACGTTGAGGTAGGGCTTCCTCTCCGAAGTCACACACTTTGGGGGAAAAAAGAAGAAAAAAGGTGAGATGGGAATGCAAGTCCTCACCTTTGCTTTCTTCTTGATGTTTAACAGCAAAGCTTACAGCGACTTTGCTGGTATCTGGATTAATCCTTATAACAGACTTAAAATATCTGTATGCAATGGTATCGTAAATCACCCAAAATACTGAAATTAAAAATTGCACTGAAGCGTCTCCGGCTCATGGGAGAGTGCGATGGGGGTCTGTGCACCCAGCAGGGTGGGTCCTGGTCGTAGGCTTGGGGAACGTTACCAAGCTCTTGCTTCTCTCCTTTTTCTTCTTCTCCCAGTGCATTGTACCAGCCCTGGCTTCCTAGCACGGGGTGACATCCAGCGAGTGCAACGTCCTTGGCACGGCCAGGAGCTGCAGGGTGTTTGTGCAGGGACGTGCTCTCCTCCCGCAGAGGCTGCGAGAGCCCTGGGCGGCCGTGGGGTCCCCGGACCAGCCTGGCGACTACACCAAGGAAACGTACGTCCAAAATACGCAGATTTTAAATCCGTTCGCTTTTGACCATGCTCACTTGCCACTTGTTTTTGCTTGCTATAAGATTTGCAAAATGAAGTTAGCTTTTACGAATATTTGCAGAAACAAAATGCTGTAGATCTGTACCGGTCAGTAGGTACAAGCAATGATGTGAGCCTCGGAAACCCCCCGGCAGCTCCTGGAAGCAGCTCCCGTTTGAACAGCTAATGCTGAATAGTGACATGCAACTTTTTTTTATTGCCCTCAGGGTCGGGGATGCTCACCGCACGTTTGCTGTTGAGTAAAATTCAAAGACGTTACAAAATGGATGTTCGAGAAGGTGATAGGCAGGTAAAATTCACTGGCCTGAATAATCCCAGTGACTCAGGCTTTAGGGTGAGCTGGAAATTTCTAAGAGCACCAGAAGTTCATTCCCCGTGCCTAGATTTACACTTAAACATGTGAGTCTCGCATTTCATTTCCTTAGGAGAACACCACTGGTCGGGGGCACAGTTTATATTCAGAGGAGAGCTTTTTGATTTGAAATTAATGCTGTTTGTATAAATGCATTTTCATGCATTGTCCTTTTCTTCCATTTTATGTGTAGATATCGTCTACAGAAAGAGAAGTGATTTTCCATGAGCCGAGTGCCTTCCTGACGTGAATGGCAGCATTGTGTGTCCCGAGCTCGGCTCTGATGGCTCTTGTGTTGGCGTGAATCTGGAATGTCTCTGCAGAAGTCAATGAGATCAGGTGAAACCAAGACCGGCTTTTGACCCCTGGCTGTCAACAAAAAAGGGTTCTCAAGATAATTGCAGGAATACACAAGCGATAAAAGTTCCTCTTTTTTATTTTTGGTGCAGAGAATAATGAATGTTGCTATTTATCTGAATTGCTCAGAAGGTACTGTTTAGTAAGAAAGAGGAAATTAATGTTATAGACCGTATCCACATTCCTTCTGCATGGTGGAAAAAGAAAAAGTCCCTTCCCATCCTCCTTATAATTTTTCCTGGAGTGATATCAGCTTTTGTTACACATTTTTTACAGTTGGGTATTAGGTTTATGGCAAAGAAATTCTGAAATGGCATTTCTATGAGGGTGTACAGTTTTAATAAACTCCCGCCTGGGTATATCCCTGCTCCCTGTCTATGGATTGACCTCCTCGGGACGTCTGGCTTTTCCAGCTGGGCTGGTCGGACCCAACCCGCAGCTCTGCTCTGCTGCGAGACGTGGGGCCATGAGAGCGGGGGTGAGCGGGGGTACGGGACAGCCCCGCCGGGCGAGCTCCCATGCAGGACTGCTCCCCGCGGGATCCCCGGGGATCTGAACGCAGGGATTTGGCCATCCTCACATGCTGCTCCTGGAAGCAGCAGCCGCGGGGCTGCCGCAGCGCAGCTCTGCTCTGCTGCGAGGGGCCATGAGAGCGGGGGTGACCGGGGGTACGGGACAGCCCCGCCGGGCGATCCCATGCAG